ATTTCATGAACCTTTTTTCTGTACATGGATCCTACAGCTGAAGTGTTTCTATTTTCTACCATGCTCATTATGAAAGAAAGCATGATCAGTATCACATTTGCCTTTTCCAGAGATGATATCAAGATTTGTCGGTATTTCCTATTCAATTCGATACCAGCACATTTTGTGAATTTGACCAACTTTTTGGTCATACCAACATTACACTTGAATCCCCACTGAGTTTTGTTCTCAAGTGGTCTTGTGACGTTATTCAAAAGCTTTGAACATTAGGCAAAGAGCTTAAATGATTGAGAAATCTTGGCAGAAGCCACAGTAAAGGATGAATGTGTTGTCAAATGTTTTACGAACATCTGAACAGAAACCACAGGAAAGGATGAATGTGTTGTCAAATGTTTTACGAACATCTGAGCAGAAGCCACAGGAAATGATGAATGCACTGTCAAATGTTTTACGAACCTGCTATTCTGATGCTGAATCAATGTTACAATCATATGGTTTCCATTTATTGAACCAAGATGAAATTTATCTTCTTCAACCCCAAGATTAGAAGTAAGATATAATGAAGATTTCTTTCCACATAAGGGAGAGCTGAAATTTTAACAACAAGAAACTATTTGAACGACAGGTTGTGGTTAAGCATCTCGACATGATATGGTTCAAGTTGCCTTGTTCGAGAACCAATTAAATGTGGAAACATGAAAGGAATTGGAATAAATCTTCCTTATGATATGTTTCAAGAGTCAAATCAGAACAGACTCTACTCCCCTAATTAATCCCCGCTGAGTCACATATCTACATCTACACTCTTCAAAGATGATAGGTTCTCTTTTTAAAGATGATAGATTCTCTTTTCAAAGATGAAAGCTTTATGGGATTTACACACAAGTCCAAGCAAATAAAGTTGGTTTTATCTAAGACAAAATGGGGCATCAGGGTCGTAATTTTGACTACGACAAGAGTTCCACAAGAAAAACATTTCTTCTAAGACTTAAATGAAGCAAAGAAGGCACCACGATACAAGGTCTGCAGAAATACAAGCTTGATAGCATAAGTTCCTACACTAATATCTAGAGGTAACCCTGGCAATAAATGATGAAGTAAAGGAAGACCAAGTTCACCACTTTGAAGTCAAATGAAGATTGCATCAATATTCATGCATTCATAAGAACATCATTTGCACAATAGACAATGCATTACATAGATACATCTGAGTGCATTCAAACATGAAGTTTTACAGATCTTCGGAAGAACAAGAAGATTCATGGTAAGAAATACCTTACAAGAAGAAGGTATTCAAAACCGCAAATACATGAATTATACAAACATCTGAAGAAGTGATAGATGCAATCCACAAGAATGAAAATTATCTTGAGATTAGAGCATGTTACCCAATCAATATGTTATTTTGAAACATAATGAGAAAACGATTTTCATAGTTTCTCATTTTATCTTTTCTGAAATTAAATTGTTGAAAAGTAAGAAAACGATTTTCTTAGTTTTTTACTTAGTAAACTATTTCTCACATCTGTAAGCCCTTCAGTGCATGATGTTTCCAAAAAGCCTTCGGGAGCTTTTTGATGTTTTCAAAGCCTTCGGGTCATCTGTAAGCCCTTCAGTGCATGATGTTTCCAAAAAGCCTTCGGGAGCTTTTTGATGTTTTCAAAGCCTTCGGGTCATCTGTAAGCCCTTCAGTGCATGATGTTTCCAAAAAGCCTTCGGGAGCTTTTTGATGTTTTCAAAGCCTTCGGGTCATCTGTAAGCCCTTCAGTGCATGATGTTTCCAAAAAGCCTTCGGGAGCTTTTTTATGTTTTCGAAAACCTTCGGGTCATCTGTAAGCCCTTCAGTGCATGATGTTTCCAAAAAGCCTTCGGGAGCTTTTTGATGTTTTCAAAGCCTTCGGGTCATCTGTAAGTCCTACAGTGCATGATGTTTCCAAAAAGCCTTCGGGAGCTTTTTGATGTTTTCGAAAACCTTCGGGTCATCTGTAAGCCCTTCAGTGCATGATGTTTCCAAAAAGCCTTCGGGAGCTTTTTGATGTTTTCAAAGCCTTCGGGTCATCTGTAAACCCTTCAGTGCATGATGTTTCCAAAAAGCCTTCGGGAGCTTTTTGATGTTTTCAAAGCCTTCGGGTCATCTGTAAGTCCTTCAGTGCATGATGTTTCCAAAAAGCCTTCGGGAGCTTTTTGATGTTTTCAAAGCCTTAGGGTCATCTGTAAGTCCTTCAGTGCATGATGTTTCCAAAAAGCCTTCAGGAGCTTTTTGATGTTTTCAAAGCCTTCGGGTCATCTGTAAGTCCTTCAGTGCATGATGTTTCCAAAAAGCCTTCGGGATCTTTTTAATGTTTTCAAAGCCTTCGGGTCATCTGTAAGTCCTTCAGTGCATGATGTTTCCAAAAAGCCTTCGGGATCTTTTTAATGTTTTCAAAGCCTTAGGGTCATCTGTAAGTCCTTCAGTGCATGATGTTTCCAAAAAGCCTTCGGGAGCTTTTTGATGTTTTCAAAGCCTTAGGGTCATCTGTAAGTCCTTCAGTGCATGATGTTTCCAAAAAGCCTTCGAGAGCTTTTTGATGTTTTCAAAGCCTTCGGGTCATCTGTAAGTCCTTCAGTGCATGATGTTTCCAAAAAGCCTTCGGGAGCTTTTTGATGTTTTCAAAAACCTTCGGGTCATCTGTAAGCCCTTCAGTGCATGATGTTTTCAAACATTTCCATCATGCTCAAAAGAAGCCAAATGAAAAAATTATTGTCTTTTTCGTCTTTGCTCTATTCTTGTTAACACAAGGATGAGCAAAGAGGGGCAGCTGTAGACATCAATTTTTTTTCATTTTAAGTTTATTATTATTATTAAAATTATTATTATTATAATTATTATAATTATTATTATATATTATTTATTAAATATTACAAAGCCCATTTACAACCCGATTACAATTGGCCCAGCAGAACCCAAACCCTTTAGGGTTTGTAACATTCAGCTAGGGTTGTCTAAACCCTAGCTTCCAGACGCGGCGCCCCCCTGAAGCCACCCCGACGACCGACTCTCTGATGCCAGATGGTCCAACCAGTTGTTGCCGACGCTTCAGTACTGCCACGACGCCGGCCTCGTCGAGCTTTCCAGAAGCCAGCTGCCTCACCAAATCAGTGCTCTATGGTGAGTCACCGCCATAGCTTGGTGACTCACCAAAGATGCTACCCATGGGACCGGTCCGAGGAGTACACTGTGGTGGCTATAAAAGCCACCACTGAACCTGCAAAGGAAAACCAGCAAGAACGGAGAGCAGAGAACAACAACAAACAGAACAGAAAAAAAAAGAGGGAGGAGAAGAACACAAACGAACAACAACAGAGAAAAGATACGAAAAAAAAAAACACAGAAAGCTACCAACGATCCCAATCAACGACAAACCAGTAAAAAAAAAAGAAGAAGAAGAGAACAGAGGAACTTACTCTGTCATCAGAGAACACCAAACGTCGCCGGAGAACCGAAATGCCGAAGGTGAAAATCGTAGATTTACGATATATTATGGGGTTTTAGGTTAAAATAACCTTAGATCGAACCTTAGGACGTTTAGATCTACGCTTTGGGGGTGTTTTTGGTAAATTCCGGCCACCGTTACGGTGGCCGGCGGCGGTGGCCGACGCCGGAACAAGGTGGCAAACGGTGGCTGGTTTCCCTCCGGCGAGGGAAACTTAGAGAGAAACGAGAGAAAAAAAATTTCTCTCGTTTGAGAGAGAGAATGGAGAAAGGAGAATGAGAGTGATGGCCCTTCGGGCCAGCCGTTTGGGGTTAAATGCCCTCTCCCAAACGACGTCGTTTTGGGAGAGGGGTATTTCTGTAATTACCCTCAAGGGTAAACCCTTTCCGCAACCCTCTATATTTATAACTTTGCAATTTAGTCACTGAAATTGATTTTTAATCATTTCAATTCGGTTTTATAATTTTATTTAATTTATAATTTAATCCTTGCCTGCTTATATAATATTTAGGGTAAATACCCATTTTAGTCCTTACCAGTATTAAATAATATATTTAGGTAAATATCAAATTTAGTCCCTTATAGTTTAGTATTTTTTATTTTAATCCCGTATTAATTAATTAGGTTAAATTACACTATTAACCATTATCTTTCATAATATTTCAAATTATTATCTTTATTTTTGATACTTTATATTTAGTTTTATAATTTTAATTTCTTTTATTTTGATCATTATTTAATTACAATATTATTTTGTTATCACTTTTATATTTTAATTATGGCTTTAATTATTATTTTATTATTATCTTAATCTTATAAATATATTTATATTAAATATTATAAAAATTATAATTTATCTAAATCATTTTTATGAAAAATTATTATATTTTTAATATTTATTTATTAATATCGAAGAAAAGAACTGTCTTAAAACACCTAGAAGTTCTTTTATGATATTCTTAAATAAATAATTATCTTGTTTTTTTTATAAATTAATTATTTTTTTAAAAAAATGCTTTTTTTAGTTATTTATTTATTAATATCGAAGAAAAGAGCTGTCTTAAAGCACCTAGAAGCCCTTTTCTGATATTTCTAAATAAATAAATAATTTATACATATTAACATATTTTCTCTAAATTATTTAAAATAACATAATTATGAATTAAATATATTTTGAATTTTTAAATTTTTAATGATAGAGACAATTTATAATTAAAAAGTACCAATTTTGGGCGTTGTAGGGGTGCTAATCCTTCCCTAAACGTAACCGACACGAATCCCTTTTTATTATTAAAAAGAACGAATTTTTGGTTATAAACGCAGATCAGATCATTTTTTAATTGATGTTTTTTTAAAACTCTTTTAAAAAAATAATTTTTAGGTATTCGACCTACCTGACCCAAAAGGCCGATGGCGACTCTCAAATTATTTTCAAAACCATTTATTCACATCAATTTTCCCGCCAAATAAATTTTTCGTGCCCGGACAAAAACCGGTTACGACAGTAGGCCTCATAGTTTGTATTCAATGCTTGGGATATATGCCAAGCCAAATGCTGGGTTTGATCGGTTTCTATCGTTTCTTTTCTAGTCTTAGATGAAGAATGTGAAGCTTGAACCACGTCCTACATTTTTATAACAAAACATCAAATAAAGTAACGATAATCCAATCATGTATTTCTTGGACGCCCTAGTTATTGATACAGCCAATTAAAATTTTAAAGCATCACAATTGCTCCAACCCCCTTTAGCTTCACACGTTGTTCCAACTTTGAGAGACCTAACAAGTTCATAGGAACTTTTCACGACAAGACGATAGGATCCATTTGGCATTCGACTTTGATTTATGAGTTCATAGGAACTCTCACCCTCGGCCATGCTTATCGCCTTATCACTTCTCAAGGTACCATTTTCTTCATCGGAAGATTCCTGATTGTTGCTTTCCATCACCTTTATGTCAATTTCGGAACTTATTGTTTGTTTGCTGTGCCTGCAGATTTGATGAAGGATTGAAGGTCATGAGAGCCAAGAAAATTGCAAAAACGAAATGGGAATCCATGAAAAAGTTGCAGCACCATGGACAAGACAAACTAAGTTCAAGAAGAAAGTCTGACGCAGAGACAACCAACCAAGTATGTTTTCTATATATGTTTTTCCGACCATTCTTTTTCCCCCCTACCCAAACACTAAGGTACTTATGTTGTAAACTTTTCAGGAACAGAAGCAAGAAAGACAAAGCTCAAGGAAAACACATGTGAACGCAGCTGCAATGAGGTCAAAATCATGGCGGCCGTCATTACAGAGCATCTCTGAGGCTGCAAGTTAAATATGTTTTCATTTGATTAGGTTTTGAGAATGACCCTCTTTTGTTTAATGAAGACCCAAACATTAGGATGTATGGGGAATGGAAGTTCACCGGTTGAATGAAGGTGATAAGATAACCCAGATTTCTTAATTGCAATGGAAGCTCCCAAATTGAAATCTGTTTGTAGAAATGAAAAACACATATAGCTTCTCAGTCCAGAAGAGACTTGGATCTTACATCGTATTACAAATTCCAAACAGTTAGCTCTCATAGTTTATTTTTAACCAAATTTGAATCAAATTCTCTTTTATTACCATAGAATATAGGCATAATGATAAAATTAATCTCAACATTTACACAAATAATCATTTCATTTCTGTTCTTTTTTGGGAGCATTTTAACTCTCAATATTTCAATTTTTTATCAAAATAGTCCCTGTAGAATAGAAATTATTAGTTGACTAACATGGAAAACGTGCAAAGTATATGTAAAAGTGTCACATCATCAACATGTATTAATTGATAGTCAACTAATAATTTTTATCGAACATATTTTGATCAAAAAATGAAACGCTTAGACTAAAATGCTAAAAAAAATAAAAGATGAAATAACCATTTGAACAAATGTTAGGAGTTAATTTTATTATTATGCCTGAATATATATGTAACTTTAATTTCTATTTTAACTATAATTTTTCTCTTTTTATAATTTAGTCCTCGGCTTTATATTTTATTCAATTTAATTTTTATTGTAGTTTTTTTTTACAAATTTCTCTTTCAATTAATTCCTTAACTACTTTATATCATTATCAATATTGTGACCCTAAAATATTTTGTTTTAAAAATTGGATTATAAATACATATTTTTTATTTTAAATGGCATTTTATTTATTAAATAATATTACAATGCGAAAACGAATGTATGTATGTAAGTGTTGTTAGATAAAATCGTTAAATTGAACTATTCGCGCCCTAACATTATTAATATTTATAATTAAATTTGATTAGAAACTAGAAAACTCAATTTGATTCGACTTGACTCTAATTTCTTAGACTTGACTCGAAAAAATTTTAAATAAAAATTTAAGTCTTAAAATATAACTCAACATCTTGAATAACTCAAATTTTTTTAACTCGACTCGATCGTACACTCACTCCTAAAGTTGATCATTGATTACATGTTCCTTGTTAGAGTTGCTATCTATTTTTTTATTAGGTCATGAAATTACAATTCAAACAATGATAAAAAGTGAACAATATATTTCGTTTGATACTTTAATTCTTCTATTGCTTTTATGTTGATCAAGAAAGGACATAATAAAAAATATGGAATATAATTTGTAATTTGTGAGTGTAACAGTTATAACAAATACTGTATTTCTTCGACATATTTCTTATAAATCATACCAAAAAACACATATTAAACTATCACACTCACACATCTATATAACATCAATATAGTCATCATGTAAAATTGCACGTCAATCGAACTTCAAACAAGATTTCTATTGTGTTAACAAGGTACATTAGGAACCAAATTGTAAGCTATCAATTAACATCTATATTAACATGCATTTCTTAATCTTTCTAGTTCAAACATGAAATTAAATTTCTAGTTTAAATTTGAGCTTAATAGAGGAACAACGTTAGAATTTAACCAAGCTTATAATGACTAAAGAGTGGGACCCTTTTCAAGAGGGGAACCTGTTAAGAGATTATTGTTTTTATGTAATTGTATAAATAGTCGATTATTATTTAAGTATAAAGGTAAATATATATATTTATTAAGACAATTTCATTTGCATTTTTTGTCTTGTTAATAATGGGAATCTTATATTGGTGTATACAATTCGATATGCTGAAAAAAGTCGATTAACTAAATCTAAACGGAATAAATGAAAATACCGTTTAAGACAAGTTTGAATTAAACGCTTCAGAAGAATAATGAGAAAAATAAAAATAGGGGTAAACTGCATCAAGCATTGTTAAACTTTAGGTTTAATATCCTCTTTATTATTGGGCTTTAAATTAGTTTTTCAATAAACCTACACAAAATCAACAAAAATTTATCTAAATGTTAGATGTTCAAACATCCGATGAGATTAATTTCGAGGTATACTGTTTGACTTTTTAAAAGAATATTTCTTGCCGTTTGAATTTTTAACAAAAAATTGAAACCCCTTAAATTGAGAAAGCTCTCAAACTCTAAATATATAAAAAAAACTGTGTTTAATTTGTGAGTTTTTAAAGAGATTTCGAAGAAAAAAAATCTAAACTGATTAAGTAGTAAAGGACGATGAGACAAGTTTATCAAAATCTAGGTTGGTCACAAAAAACGTTGGTAATTTTTTACGACAATTAAAAAAGATGAAAAAATTCTAATAAAACAGTTTATGATGACGAATAAAAAAATATATTTTTTAGCTTTTACAGTAAACGTCAACACTAAACTGTCATATCATTTAGTTATTAAAGATTTAACTGTTCTGTGATTTAATTGAACTCGAAACTAAAATTTTGTATTTAAATTGAAACGTTTTAAATCGACACACAACCTAAAGTTTAGTGAAATTCGTTGTGATTTATCTTAAAAATAAATAAATAAAAGTTTTTATTTTTTTCTATAAACTAACAAAGCTGATTGCATACTATCACAAATCATCAAATAAACACTCTTTCCTTTAATTCCAAATGCAATGCCTGGAAGCACAAAAATGATATAAGAAACATCATACAACATGCTAAACATGGTCAACACGTTTAAGATTTTTGTCCAAATTTGATTGACTAATGCAATGAAACGAAAAAAGAACACACAATACAAGACGGTCGAGATGAGTAATTTGGTTTAGCAATGTCCATTGAAGTTGTGGTAAGAAGCCATCAAATGTTCCACAAATTCATTGATGCACTTATCCGAGCTCCCTCCTTCATCGATCGCTCTCTTAGCCGAATCCCTCCATTTCTTAGCGTTTCTCTTCATCTCTTTGCTCCTCTCCCCTTCCATCACTTCCATCAAGCATCTCATCAGCTCATCTTTCCTCACAACACCCTCCTCGTCTTCCTCGGCTCTCACCCCGATCTCCCAAATCTCCTCGACAAACTTAGCGTCGGTCAATTGATCGGTCCATTTCGGTATGCCGATCATCGGCACACCCAGGCTCAGCCCTTCTAGGGTTGAGTTCCACCCGCAGTGTGTCACGAAGCACCCCACTGTCCGATGTGCCAGCATTTCAAGCTGGTTGCACCATGTTACGACCTTGCCCTTTTGTCGACTCGAGTAGTCTATGAACCATTTGGGCAGTTTTCGCTGCTCGGTGTCTCTTACTACCCATAGGAAATACATGTTGCTCTCCTTTAAACCCCATGCGATCTCTTGAATTTGTTCCTCTGATAATGAGACCATGCTTCCGAATGAAACGTAGACGACCGAGTTAGATGGTTTTGGTTCGAGCCATTCAATGCACTCGTCGCTGAGTGGCTTCCATAAACTCGAACCGTACCCTCCATCACCTTTGATCCTTTCGTCCAAGTAAGCCGATGGGATCATTGGGCCAATCAACTTGGCTGGCCAAATCTCTGATACCCCTATTGTTTCCTATATAACATGCAACTTACAACATCATCACTAAAATCGAGCCAAACCAAATACATTTAATTGAACCGAACCGAAGCTTAACCGAACACTACGGTTTGAATCTGTTTTCTCGAACTTTTTCACATATCTATAAAAAATCAAGTAGCCTGCACGATAATGATATTATGATAAATATGATGTTATAGATTCTATATTGATCTAAACATACCTTTCCTTCGAGTTCTTCGAAGGTGTTACCAAAAACCCAATCCGCTTCATTCAAATTCGAATACTGACTCAACTTCATGGCCAAATACGCAGGGTAGCTATCTGGGAACCTAAGGAAACTCGGCAAGTCTCGGGAGTTCAACGGCGGGAGTCCCGGTAACACCAACGGCATTGTTGCATGATCGAGTGGCAAAGCCAGCAGGTCATGTTGAATGTGAGCAAAGATGTTACACACCGTGGCAGAGTTAGTAAAAAATGCAGCCCCGTAAATCCCATGCTGCTTAGCAACATCGAGAGCCCATGGAAGAAACGAGTCGTACACGACGCAGTTAACCGGCATGTTGGAGTTGGAGAATTTTTCGACGAGTTCGGCCAGGGTTCTAGAACCGTGGACCCTGAATGACTTGAGGTAAAAGTCTACGTCCCCTACTTGAGAAAAGCCGCCTTGGTCGAAGCCGTCGGAGATGGGTTCGACACCGATGTGAGGGGCGGATATGGAGTGGAGGGTGTAATGGGTGGTGGCCAGTGTGGCCTTTACACCTTTGGAGGCTAAACGTTTGGCGAATTGGAGAAGAGGGTTAATGTGGCCTTGGCTTGGGTACGGGAGTACTACAACGTGCCCTTTGATTTGTTTGTCTTCCATTTTCTCTCGTCTATTGAATGAAGCCTGCTTCATTCAATGGGTTTCTATTTCTTTTATAGAAAAAGCCAAAGGAAAATAAATCCAACTGTTAACACAGACGATACAGAATTTTACGTTGAAGTAAATAAATTTATTTTAGAAACAAAATCAAATTATTAACAAACGGGGTGCTCATCATTCCTCACATGTGATTGATTCCGAATTCTTTTAAATGAATATCTCGTAAGATATAGATATAATAAAAAAACAATTTTAAGTATTCAATTTTACCTAACTCAATAGATTATCGACGACTCCAAGAAATAAATTATTCACTTTAAGTCAAAATGTGATCTCATATAATTGTTGCAACAAAAATACAAAAAATATATGTTAATTTAAAAAAATAGAATTAATTATTTAGTCTCTCCGTCTATAAAGATCATGAAGAAAACAATAATTAATATTTTTATTTTTTTTATAGAAATCTTATATATTAAATTTTTTATTTGCATACGTATGCTATAACCGAATACCATGTTCTTTTTTATATTATTGTTTTCCGAAGAAAGGGGAACATATGTTCATATCCAAAATTTGTGATGTTATTTTGAATAATATAATCGAATAATGATCATGAAAAGTATGTTTTAAAATTTAATTATATTTAAATGTTGAACCAATTTTTTTTGACTCCCGAGTGTTCCAGCAGATTGGAGAGTAGACTAAAGCTGCACTTTGTCCTGAAACCAAAATTTCAATTACTAAAATATGTATATATAACGTCATGATAACTAAAATTAACAAGTAATGGTACACATATGTATATTGTATATACTTGATTAATTATTATTATTATTATTACTAGTTTAAATATAGTGATTGGTTCTCGATAATAAAAAAAATCTCCCTTTTCCAGTAAATTTTAACAATATTTCAAAAGTTATAGGACGAATCAAATGATTTTAGTAAAAAAAATATTTTTTGTTATTCTTTAAAGTCTCAAATTCGAATATTATGAATCTTAAAGGTTTAAACGTTCAATATCAAAATTATTAAGAATTATCTTTAAAATACTACATTATGCTTCCCTATATTATAAAAAAAATTAATAATACTTCAGAAATTATATGTACCTACGTAATAGGAGTCCTCAGCGCTTCAATGTGATCATCAAGCGTATAGAAGGAAAAACGTATTAATAAATATTGGGTAAACTATAGAAGTGGTCATTTTCGTTTGAGTTTTAAAAACTTTTCTTCACTAAATTTAGAAAATATAATATTTGGTCACTTTATTTCGTTTTAATTAAAATGTGGTCATTAATGGTTAACCGTCATTAAACCTTTAACAATTTACTAACATAATACGATAAATATATAACATTAAAATTACATCATAATCGTTAGTAAAATGGTTTGATTTTATTTGAAATCCTAAAATTTAGACAAATACTGATTATGAGTTTTTTTTTTTTGCAAAATCAAATTAGTTTTTGGGCAATATTTCAATTTACCCATATTTCAATATTTTTTCTCCCTAACCGTGAATATTGCTTATCTTCTCCTCTCTTCTTCTTTAGACATCTCTGCTCCATTGCAATAGTATTCTTGTTTCTAATTATTAGTTGTAATTATTGAAGTCCAATTAAGTGGGTTACCAGTTGTAAGAAAAGGTATAAAAAAGTAATGAAGATAGTGAAAAATACAGAGAACACATCATTTAAACTCTAAAATGATTCACCACCATAGCGACGCCACCGCCTCGAGCCGAGAAAACTAGAGCTTCTTCAATGGCTGCGTTATTGATGACAAAGTACTAGGTTTCCTTCTCCGACGCGTTGTTGACTAACAAAATCCCTGTGATGCGAAAGATCGTCGGGAACGTTTCATCGCATCTGAACGTGATCTAACTCCACGATGATTACAAAGATTAAACTATTATTCACTTAGTACTAAAGCTCTGCTCTGGCAATGAGTTGTTCAATTGGGGCGACACATAAAAGAGGTACTTAAAGGTTGATGCGATGGTGGTGGCGTGACAAATTACGCAGGTCGTAGAGGTTAATGGTGATTCATAGGAATCTAGAATTGGAAAATTACTTATTCTTGAGGAAAAAACAAAGATTCGATGTTAAAAATCATGGATTTTGGATTGAGTTCAGTGGATGAATTCATGGATCTATTTATTAGGTTGTTTGGATCCATTTGTTTTGTTTCACTAGAGACGTTTTCTCAAGGAAAAATCACCACGAAAAGTAATATTCGGTTATCGAGTTATTTAGATCCATTGATTTGTCTTCTTGTTCCTTGTTGCATTTGGCATTATACAATCTCAATCTTTGGAAATTGAATTTTAGTTTGTATAAATGAGATTATCCAACTTTATTTTATTTCTAGATGCATATCCTCTCATTTTTTTTTCTGAACTTGTGGTGTTATTATTTGTTATCGAAAGTTGAAAATATTTCATTATTTTTGAAATGCAACATGAGTCCTTGAAAGAAGGCAGATGAAGCAATGGAGCAATGGAACAAAGATGTGTGAAGAAGAAGAAAAGAGAAGATGAACAACAATGGGTTGGGAAGAAACCTATTAAAAATGGATAAATTGAAATGTTGTCCCCTAAACTAATTTGAATTTATAAAAAGACTCATAATCAATACTTTGTCTAACGTGTAAAGGTTAAAATAAAAATTAAATTATTTTACTGACAGACCACATCATCAAACTAACAACATTCAACATCCAAGTGGCCAAAACTTAATAAAACGATAACGTAAGTGACTAAAACTTAATAAAATGATAACGTAAGTGACTAAAACACATGTTTTTTTTAAAATTTAGTGAGAAAAAGTGTACAAATATGAAAGGAAACCAAAACTTAATCCACGTATTATCTACGTAGAAATGATATAATTTTACTTTTATATATTTATCGTGCCACATCAGCAAATCGTTAATGATTTAATCGTCGTTAACCTTCAATAACCATATCTTAATTAAAACGAAACGAATGAGACCAAATATTATGCTTTTTTAGTTCATTGAGGAAAAGTTTATAAAATTCAAACAAAAGAGATCAACTATGTAGCTTACCCATAAATATTTGATATAGTTGAGGATGAACAAAATTTGATTTTACTCGATATTTTTTAAATTTTAAGTTATTCATCTCAACTAGTAGTAGTGGTTCAGATTTTTAGTTCAAATAGTTTGAATTTTAAAAGTACAAACAATAAAAAATGAATATTAAAACTACGTCATATTTATCATTAGTTTCATTTAAATAATTTAATTGTTTTATAATTTTGACTTTGATTTATTTATTTCTTCAATTCTTCCTTTATTTTGAATTCATTTTTACCAAATTTAAAATTCATGCTTCTCAACTATAGTATATGTAACCCCTAGACCCAGCCTGGTCGTTATGCCCATGTCTAGGTGATTACGTATCATATTCCAAAATTCTTTTTATATTTAAAACAACGTTGAAATCCATATCTCAGTGATATATGAAATTTATCCATAATAAGGATTTATACAATAACATATATTAATACATATTTTAGAAAACCATACAAAACACATACATATCAAAATACAAGAATACATGTCACCATAATATAACAGAAAGACATGTAAAAATGTAATTTTTACAAAAGTAACAATAGTTGAGCTCCCTTGATGCCAAGTCTACTAGTTTACGTTCTGCTGTTATCTGAAAAGGTTAAAATTTACAAAATGAGCTAAAAAGCCAGTGTGCTCCATACAGTGTATAAAAAAGAAACATACATATAAAATATTTCAGTAAAATTAGTTTATCAAACATGTTTTAAAAACATGAACACTACCCCATCCGATCACATCAGAATGTGTAGGTTTCCCAGAACCATACACCTCATGCACAACAGTAAGGCCCTGAGCACAAAGCCGAGGAGCCTAAACATATACTTCCTCCAACAATACCCCGATAACCATGAATGTATTCAAGTGAAAACGATGATTAATCCTTTAAAACATGAAAATGTTTCATGCTTGGAAATCATATACAGAAATATGAAAATCAGAAGTCAAATCAGTAACGTACTGTAAATCATATATCGGATAAGCCATATTCAGAAATCAAGTATAAAAATATACCATAACCAGAAATCATATCAAAAGTGTGTTGTAAATCAGATATCAAATAAACAGTAAGGTAACACATTCAGGAAACACACCTGTAACAATATGAGAAATCGGATAGGGAAGCCTACTACTGAGCCTGTCAATCACTCTCTGCTGCAGTGCTAGATCCTACAAATAGGAAAAATCCATATTGGAATCCTAATATGAATAATCTTAATCTTTATTTAAATAATTTACGAAAACCTACGGGTAATTCTTGTAGTACGTGGATCGGGCGGATTTGACGAACTGAAAACACTAGACCTAACTGACCCTCGTTCAGGTGAAACACAAGTACCTTCATAAAAATATCTTATTGGATCAATTACATAACCATATCTCAAATAAATAAGAAAAAATGCTAAAAATATTAAGCATTTTTTGGGTTAACGAGCTCGATTCGGGACTTTCGGGTCTAAATTTAGTAAAACAGACTTCAAAATCAGATTCGGACGTCAAAAAACATAAAATATGACTTTTCAAAAAATTTGACCTTTTTGGTCTAAGTCATCGGTCAACGCGGTCAACAGCGATAAACAGTCACCGGGTCCGGTCAGTTGATTTTTCAAACTGTCCCCACGCGTCGAACATTCCCCACGCGCAGGAGCAGCGCGTGGGGCGCGTGCGATGGCGGGCTCTGAAAAATTACGAAAAAATTCCTAAAATTATTTTAAGGGATTTTGAGACACTTATCAAGCTCAGTTCACACTTTTGAATGGCGAAGAGCTTGATTTCGAAACGTCAGAAACTTTGACTTCCTTACCTCCCTCAAGCTCTGGTGACGACGGAGACGCGAAGGACACCGGTGGATTCGGAAGGACACAAGGAACACGATGGTGCGGGAGGTGTCGAAAA